GGAAGACCGAGAAAACATCTTAAGGGCTAGGGCTACCGGGAAAGCTGTCCTAACTAGTCCCTTCAGGCTTCTTGGTTCTCGTCATCTGGGTGTTGTGTTGACATTCCCCGTTTACAAATCCAAGCTCCCAACAAGGCCAACCATGGAAGAGCGCACTGAAGCAACTGCAGGGTAAGTCATAAGCTTTTTCGTACTAGAGTTTGTGAGTGAATATGAGAAGAGTTTGTGGTCTATGGCAAATGCAGTTGTATTAGAATGGACACTTTGAATGGGAAAAAAGGTTTAGACTTCTGTTAATGTGATCAATGCTGATGATGTTAGTAATTTGAAGGTAGATAAGTAGATCCGAAAAAATAGTCTTGCTGAAGACATATACCTCATGGACTAAAAAATGGGGCTAATGGCTTCTGTTAGTTCCTTTCTTTATTAGCGAATTTTAGATTTCCTTAAAAAATAACATCTAAAACAGATACCTTGGTGGAGCCTTTGATGTGGAGTCTCTTGTGGAGAATCTGCTCGGGCAACTTGCTGGAAATCAAGCGATTCTAGTGCATGTATATGACATTACTAACTCTTCTGATCACCTGATCACGTATGGTCACCAAGATCAAGATGGTGAGTTGGCTCTGTTGTATGAAAGCAAGCTCAATTTCGGAGATCCGTTCCGGAGGCATACAATGATATGTAGGTGAGTACAAAACCGGTTACCTATTCACACGGTTTACGGAATGAAAGCTGTTGATTTTATAAGTTCTTAGTCGTTGGCTTTTTCAAGCAGATATCATCAGAAGGCACCGACTTCGTGGACAGCGCTGACCACCGCATTCTTATTCTTTGTCATCTGCTTATTAGTTGGTTATATCTTATATGGTGCCGCTATACACATTGTTAAAGTTGAAGATGATTTCCATGAAATGCAAGAACTGAAGGTTCGAGCCGAAGCTGCAGATGTACATCATCATCATCATTCCAAGTGGCGAGTGATGGCACTCGGTTGGTTTGTAGGTTAAAAAAGGAGCTGTATGGGCTACGTCAAGCACCACGCATGTGGTATGCCAAGCTACGCCATTTTTTGTTAGAGTTGGGGTTCTATGGTACAACAGCTGATGCGACGTTGTTCGTGCGACGAGTCGCTGGAGTTCGTATGTTGGTCTTGGTGTATGTAGATGATATTATAATTACAGGAGAATCGACTTGTGTTGTTGATGAGGTTGTTAGGCTTCTTGGTAAGAAATTTTCCTTAAAGGACTTGGGTGAACTTGGTTACTTCCTTGGTGTTGAGGTCATTAGGTCGTCTGGTCAATTGGTGTTAAGTCAGTGAAAGTTTATTCGCGGATTGCTGGAGCAGACATGTATGCTTAATGATAAGTCAACAACAATGCCAATGGTGGTCTCACCCAAGTTGGCATGTGATGCTGGGAAGTTGCTTACAGATGTGTGCATGTACAAAAGCGTTGTTGGTTCCTTGCTGTACTTGAGTTATACGAGGCCAGATATAGCATTCAGTGTTAATCGAGTGGCCCAGTATATGCATCGGCCTTGTAATGGTCATTGGCTTGCTGTTAAGAGAATCTTGCGCAATTTGAGTGGGACAGTTGACTATGGCTTGGTGTTTAGGCCGACTTCTGTGTCTGAATCTTGCTGCTTGACTGCGTTTGCTGATGTTGATTGGGCCAGTAACGTTGATGATCGTAGGTCAGTATCGGGCTCGTGTGTGTTCCTCGGATGTAACTTGGTTTCGTGGAGTGCTAGGAGGCAGAAGACTGTGGCTCGCTCGACAACAGAGGCTGAGTATCGTAGCATTGTTGATACAGTGGCTGAAGTAGTCTGGATTCGATCATTACTGTCTGATATGGGTGAAACGGTTGCTGCAGTTCATGTAGTCTGGAGTGACAATACAAGTGTTGTTGCCATGAGTGCTAATCCGGTGTTCCACGCTCAGTCAAAGCATATAGAGTTGGATACATTTTGTGCGTGAGAAGGTGGCTTGTGGGGCAGTTCAAGTGAACTATGTACCTGCAGAGCACCAAGTTGCTGATGGGTTGACAAAACCCTTGGCAAAGTCTACACATGTGTTGTTTCGACAGCAAGTGCAGATGGCAGAGAAGGAGAGAGAGCTAAGAAGGACGGGGAGAATGTTGAAGTATAGTTGCATGTCTACATGCTGTGTGCATGGTTGGTTGCTGCAGCTAGTGTACGTGTGAGCTGTGTGTGGTTAGTTAGTGATTAGTCAGGCTAGTTGAGACTGTTAGAGGTTGGTTATGAGTCTGTTAAGTCTGGTATACAAGCCATTGTGTATAAAAGGTTGATGTACTCCTTTGGTGAATGACAAGTTCAGTTACTTTCTTTAGTATTCTGTTAAGTTTTAGTATAAACTACAACAATGAGAACAGGTTTTCAGGTCCTTTACCTGATTTTTCAATGTTAACTCAGTTGAGGAACTTGAGTGTAAGAGATAATCACTTTACTGGTATTGTTCCTTTGTCTTCAGTTAACTTGAAGTCACTTTATATTGTGAACTTGACTAATAATGAACTTCAAGGTCCGACCCCTCGATTTGCTGATCATGTGATTGCTGATATGAATGCTGGTAGTAATAGATTTTGCTTGGATGATCCCGGTGTTGCTTGCGATGATCTCATTAATATATTGTTATCTATATCAGAATCCGTTGGCTATCCAGATAGTTTTGCTGTTGAATGGAAAGGGAATGATCCTTGTGACGAATGGCTCGGTATCGTATGTGATCGAGGAGAGATTGTTTCCGTTTTTCGCTTCGCAAAGAAGGGGCTTACCGGTACAATTTCTAGTAAGTTTTCGATGCTGATTTCATTGAGAACGTTGGATCTTTCGGATAATAATCTTACCGGGCCCATACCAGCAGAGCTCACTACATTGCCTAAGCTTGCTCGATTAGATGTTTCGAACAATCGGCTCTATGGAAAGATACCGTCTTTTAGGCATGATGTTGATGTAATTACTGCTGGAAACCAAGAAATTGGAAAAGAGACAGTTCCTAGTACATCTGGAGGCAGATCCCCTGGTGGTGAGAGTTCTGCTAATCCTTCAGGAAATGGTGAAAATATATCCAATAAAGGCACAGTTTTGGGTTGTACCATTGGTGTTGTTGGTGGCTTGAGTCTTCTTGTTTCAGTCATCTGTTTGTGTGCCGGAAAACGGAAGCGTACTTAGTAAGATACAGAGTTCGTCTACTTCGCTTGTACATCATCATCATCATTCCGGTGACCGAGGAGTCAAGATAATCGTTTCCGGACTGAGCGTTACTTGTCAAAGTGAAACCTTCAGAAACATGAGCAGTGAACCTACTGATGTTCACATGGTTGAGTCCAGTTGTATGGCTATCTCAATTCAAGTTTTGAGGAATGTCACAGATAATTTCAGTGAGGAAAATATATTGGGAAAAGGTGGTTTCGGGACAGTTTACAAAGGGGAATTGCACGATGGGACAAAGATTGCAGTGAAAAAGATGGAATCTGGTGCCGTGAGTGCGAAAGGTTTGGCCGAGTTTAAGTCGAAGATTGCGGTTTTTACCAAGGTTCGTCACCGCATTTGGTTGCAAATCTTGGATATTGCTTGGATGGAAACGAGAGGCTTCTTGTTTATGAATACATGCCTCAGGGGACCCTCAGCAGGCACTTATTCAACTGGAAGGATGAAGGCTTGAAACCACTCGACTGGACTCGGCGACTTACGATTGGCCTAGATGTGGCTCGAGGTGTTGAGTATCTACATGGACTGGTGCAGCAGAGTTTCATTCATCGAGATCTTAAGCCATCGAATATTCTTCTTGGAAATGATATGCGTGCCAAAGTTGCAGATTTTGGCTTGGTTCGACTAGCACCTGCGGATGGCAAACATTTGGTCGAAACAAGACTTGCAGGAACTTTTGGGTATATGGCACCTGAGTTTGCAGGTAATTAGTTTCGTTTTTCTTCATTTTCTGATCATAAATGCATGCAAAAGTATGCCTTTTTTCTCTGTTCTTTTACGGCATGCCTCTGGTTTTGATTTACGGGATGAAAGCATTCGACTGACACCACTCGCATTTCGGCAATTACTGGACGAGTGACAACAAAGGTGGATGTATTTAACTTTGGCGTAATCCTCATGAAGTTGATCTCCGGCCGTAAGGCACATCCTCATGGAGTTGATCTCCGGCCGTAAGGCGCTCGACGAAACACAGTCCGAGGAGAGAGTGCACCTCGTGAGATGGTTCCGTAGGATGTACGTAAATAAGGACACATTACTGAAGGCCATCGACAAAACCATTCATCTCGATGAAGAAAAACTTGCCAGTATTAGAACAGTATCCGAACTGGCTTGCCACTGCTGTGCAAGGGAGCCCAACCGGAGGCCAGATATGAACCATGTGGTCAATCAGTTGTCATCGCTAGTCGAGCTCTGGAAACCAGCAAAACCTGATTCTGGTGACATATATGGCATTGACCTCGAACTGACTCTACCTCAAGCACTTAAAAAATGGCAAGCTTTAGAGAACAGCAATTTGAATGATTCTTCATCATTTCTGGCCAGTAAAGACACTACGCAGACCAGTGTACCTCGCCTCCGATCTGGCTTTGCAGATTCGTTTAGATCAGCTGATGCTCGATAAAAGCAATGAAAAGTACAATAACAGGTTCTGGCTTTGATTGTTTGTTCTAAGATGTTTGGTCTGGTCATTTCTCACTGTAAGATTTGCTTCTGCTATATTTTAGCCAGAGTAGATTGTTTCTCCCCATTATTTATCTCTGTAATCTGAAACAGTTTTAAGTTTTTCTGATTTCTTCTAGAAGTTTACAAAAAAATTTAAAGCAACAATGCATATCCCAACTAGTAACAAGATAACGTGTTCAAATAATTATCAAGATTCGAATTCATGCGAACTGATTTGGGAAATAAATGATAGTCCAAAAGCATTGATATCTATAAGATGATTTGAACAAGAAAAGGAGTTGCATTCAGAAATTTCACTGAGTTTTTGAGTTCTACACGAGAACTTGTATGATTCAGACCGAAAAGGAAATGAAGAAAGCATATCAGATTATGCCTTGATGGTTTCATGGCTGATACTGATGTTTATGACTCGAGTATTTATCTGCAGAGCATCACCTCTAGTTCTGGGATTCGGCCACCTCCTTTCTCTCGATTAGCTTGATGAAATTGCGAACAATTGTTTTTCCTTCGGAAGTTATGATGCTCTCTGGATGGAATTGAACACCCTACAGTTTCCATTGTAAAGTTAATCGAAACAGCTTATAAAACAGTTCTATTAATGACTCAAAACACATCGTAAGTGGAAATAAGCATAAGAAGATGGAAAGGGAAAGTTAAAAGCTAAGTGGACCTTGGTTTTAAAAGTAAATCGTTTTGATGGTAGCCATATCTTCTAGATCAGCAAATCATTTATCATTGTACTAATAAAGTAAATGAGACGGCAGTCTTACCTGTAGATGCTTATATACTTTGTGCCTAGCAGCCATTACCAGTCCATCTTCTGTCCAAGCAGTAATCTCAAGTACTTCCCCAGGGAAACTGTCTTTTTCAATCACAAGGCTGTGATATCGGCCAACATGGAAAGGGCTGCAAAGGAGCAATAATAGTAAGAATTGCAGATAACATGAGGTGTAAATAAAAACGAAATGGAAATTATTTAACTTAAAGAGTAAACTAACAGATGCTTCACAAGTGTCTAGGAAAAAGCAGACAGATTATCCTACACATTAAACTCTCTAATCTTTTATCTCTTACTCCCCCTTCTTCCTATTTGAGGATGAATCTTGATACATTTTGAAAGAAAAATGTAACGGTAGAGGAATCAAGGAGTAGAAAATGTTAGCTGATTAGAACTCAAATGGCTGAGGGGGATGAAAAAGAAAGAAGATAAAGTAGAGAGGATGAATTTGATGCCGTCAAATTCATGCGTATAGTAAACAGGAATTTGTTCGATTTTACCCTGTACACTCTTTTGTTATAAAGAATATAAAATTCCCTGAAAGTTGAAACTTGTTAGGAGAAAAATGCTGCTAAGAAATCTTGATATCCAAAAGGTAAAAGGAGAGATAAAATCTGAAAGATGGGACATGGAAAAAGCACACCAAGAATTTTAAAGGAAAATCAGGTCTGAAGAATTAATATATACTTTGACAATCCGCAGAACAACCCATCTTCCTCCCTCTCATCATAATATACAAGAGAACTTTTTCCATGCATGACACCAAAGGGACAACGCACAATCCTTCCTGCAGTTTGAAATGAAGTCCAACAGAGTATGTTAAAATCCCACCATCTTGTAGCTCAGCATCAGTAATAAACATATACAAATATGAAGCAATCCCTGCTCTAACTGATCGGACATTCTAAGACACTTACCATCAAAAGCCTCACCAATGCACTGCAAACCCATACAAACACCAAACAAAGGTACAATAGGTCCAAGTTCCAAAACTGTTTGCACTGAAATTCCAGAATCTTGGGGTGTTCCTATACAAAGGTTACAAAGTATATGTCATGCTTAAATATGACAGATTCTTATTTATTTTTTAGTTTAAAAATATATCTAACAAACTATTACCTGGACCAGGGGAGATGAGCACTCCCCTAGGGTTTTTCCTACAAATGTAAAAAGAAAAAATTGTCATTCATTGAATCAAATCTTTAGACTTGTTAACAAATAACCATTCACCACCTACGTATCCGTCATGAAACACAACTAAATTAATAAACAATATTACACAAGTCAAAAGGTTAATTCTCACCTTTTCAACTCTTCTACGGTTAGCTCATCGTTTCGGTAAACCTCAAAGTAATATCCAAGCTCTCCCATATACTACAAAATTACATGTCAAGTCTGAGGATATTTTGTTCTTAGTCAAGAATACAACTTGGAAAAGAGTAAGAGAACAACTAAACAAAATGTTTAGAACAAAGGAGCATAAAATATTTGAAGTGAAGGAAATTCTTAAATTAACTCATGGCTCCTTTCGAAAGGCACAATCAAATGTTCCCCAACAGCTGTTTAAAAGGGGAAAGATAAGAGAGAAGTGAAGGTGAAATCCTACATAGGATTCCAGATGTCACTCTAGTCCCTGATAGTCGGTTTCTCGATGGTTATTGTTAGGGTAGAAAAACACATTTCTTATAGAAGTGGTGATAATCTCCAACCAAAGAATTATTGGTACCATAAATCTAAGAAATTGTCGCATTCTATTGACTTTCATAGATCACCATGCTCACTGATCAACAGAATCAAAGATGCCAAATATGACTAACCAATTCAGCAGGAATCACTTTTGATATATCATGTTTCATTTGGCAACCATAGCCATAAAAAATACATCATTTTTATTGAGGCACCTCGTGTGAATGTGAATCCTTCCCTTGCAAGGAAAGAACTAGAGAACTATAACAAAAAACAATAAATTTTCTGTAGACCATGTATCATACATAAACATATATGTATATATGCATGTATCTATGTATGTATCTTATCTAATTTCTTATTAAAGGAATCAAACGCAACCAGCACATTTTTCCCCCTTTTACTCTTGGTTTAGTTGGGTTTCTTAGACTAAAACTAAATTATCAAATCTTCCCTAACGATCAATGTACACACTCTCACAATCAAACACGATAAGCTTCCCGACGAAACAATCATATTTAGTGATTATATTTCCCATCATTTTTCCAATAGATTTGTAAGAAATCAAAGATCAATTCAGAGCAAGTCTTAAACCATAAAGACAAATAAGAGAAGGCAAACAATTGGCCAAAGAAAAAGGAAACAGATTGTAAAATTGCAATTGATTAAACCTGGCAAAGATTGTAAGTGAAACTATCGTAATTGTCAATGACAACAATGGGATTCTTGCAGGTTTTCTTATTCTTCAAAACTGAAGAGTTTGATTCCAATACAATCGATGCTAATGATGCTTTTACAACGATCCCAGTTCTCTTTTCCTGCAAAAAACCAATCCCTGCAAAACCAAAAAAAAATAAAAAATAGAACCACTCATTGCTCTGTACACCAACAAAAAATCAGGAAAAAAAAAGAAGAGAGAAAGAGAGAGAGAGAGAGAGAGAGAGAGAGAGAGAGAGAGAGAGAGACTTGATGGAGGAGAGAGCCTGGTTAAGCGAGAGAGAGATGGGTTTTGAAGGGTTTTATCAGAAAGTACAAGTTGTGGTTGAAGCAGAGTTGATTGGGTTATAACATTAGCTGCCATTTTTCTTCTCAATGGAGATTAAAGAAAAAATGGTGTTGAGTGTCAGTCTTCCTCGGAGAATCTGCTCTGAAAAATTCAAGTTTGTATATTTTGTTTAACAGATGCGTCATATATACATGGCAACCAACAGACTTCCTAGACACCTCTGAGTTGGACGCACCTTCCATTTCGGAATTTCATCCAATTCCATTTCAAATATTAGTTGAGATTTCCCATGATCATCAAATATTGATTTTTTCAAGTTATAATTTATAGGGTTAACTCCATGTTAAATAGTCTAACTATCGCTTTAATTTCGTTTAGTCAACTAATTATTTTTGTTTAAAATCATATTTATCATTATGTTTTTGATTTCATTTTCAATAGCTTACTATTAAAAATATATAGAACATTTGATGTGATAATTTTCTTTTAATTTTTTAATGATAATATGACGTTAACTTATAATTATATGTTAACATTACTGTTACTTTTTTAATGGAACAAAAAAATAATTTTAAATATGATTTTAAAAAGAATAATAGTTTGGTGATTAAATTTATAATTTACTCTAATTTTTATGAAACATATTTATTCCTTAAAAAAATTTATGAAACATGATAATAAAAAACCTAGTCAATGCAGTTACATTGGGTAAATATTTAAAATCACCTCCAAAGTTATAATTTTAAGAATATTTTTATCCTAAATAATCGAAATTGGTTAACGATTAAAAATATACAAAAGGAATGACATTTCTAAAAAAACAATTAAAAAGAGAAAATTTTTTTTTTGGGTTAATCATGGAGTGAATTATTTCGTACCAAATATGGGGTGTGATTTTAGAAAAAGAAATTATTTCTACATGTAATATTCTTTTATGTAATCCAAACGCTCAACTATTAAATTAAATATTTATTTTATGATTTATAAAAATCATATTTAAATTAAATTGTATTTGATATAATATTTTTATATTATTAAATCAAATTTGATATTTTTCATTTTTATTATATATATAATCATTGAGTTTATTTTTTAACTTAATTAATAACTTCAAATTTTATATTTTTATATAAATATTAGTATATATATTTTTCAAAATAAAAAAATAATGTATTGACAAAATAAAAAAGGGGTAAATTGCACCGTTCCTCACTAAACTTTATCTCTCTCTTAGTTTACTCATCGTACTTTCATTTTTTTTAGTTTACGCACCAAACTTTACAGATTGAATCTTTTTCCTCATTGTGTTGATATCTCTCTAACTTGTGATGATGTGTCATTTATTATTATTATTTAATATAAAATAATTGAAAATGTAAAGGGTAAATTACAATGTTCCTCACTGAACTTGACTCTCTTTCATACTTTGCTCAACTAACTATAAAATAAAGAGAAAATAACCTTAGTGACCAAAAATCTCATATAATATACGATTTTAACCAACTTTTTCCGGATTTGCCAAAATGACCAACAAAATCACAATGCGATCGCTAATTCGCAACGCGATCTCCATTATCGCAAATTCGCGTTGCATTTTCGCAATGCGATAGTTGAAAATCGCGTTGCGATGGTCTACAGTATCGTTGCGATTTTCCCAATTCGCAATGCGAATAAGTAAATCGCAACGCGAATTGGGAAAATCGCAATGCGAATAAGTAAATCGCAACGCGAATTGGGAAAATCGCAATGCGATACTGACTATCGCAATGTGATAATAAAAAATCGCAACGAGATACTTACTTTCGCAACGCGATACTGACTTTCGCAACGCGATAATATATAATCGCAATGCGATTTTCAAAGCGCCATTAGTATCCTGACCAAGTATTTTATTTTTAAATTCCAAACATGAATATTAATATATTGGAACACTGAACTGTCCACAGTATATCCCGTAATCGCAACTCATAACCTAAAACCTAAAATCACAACTCAGTCCCATCTCCATCTCTCACTCTCTCACCCATCTCCGACGAAATCCGTCCCCATCTCCGGCGAAATCCGTCTATCTAAATCTCTCAGAGCCACCCTCACAATCAGAAATGGAAAATCAACCAAATCAACCAACGAGGGTTAGTTTTTTTATTATTTCTTTTTGAAATTTTTGCATTATTATTAGGTTTTTCATATTGAAATTGATGATAAGTTTACTGGTAATTTCAATAATAGATTAACCATTTCACTTAGATTGCTTATTAAATCAACCAAGAATCGCAACGCGAAATGCAAATCGCAACGCAATTTTAGTTTCGCGTTGCGATAGTAATTTTCGTGTTGCGATTTTCATTTTCAGAAACTATTCTTCTTCTGCAAATTGAAACTTGAATGAATTGCATTACTTCAACCAAAAAACAAAGACAAATACGAAATTCACAGTGTTGCATATTTAAGTTTGAAGAATAAACTACTACTATTTATGTTTATTATTGTTTTTGGTATATCTTCACAGTGTAGTTTTTGGTATATCTAATTTAGTATGTTTATTGTTTTTGTAGAACTTTTATTCGGCTCAATTGACCTTGAGAAATAAAGTCAGCTTGGCCAAAACAATTGCGTCGAAGCTTTCACCTGCACAAAGAAAAATGTTTGAGGATACATGCTTCGGGCCATGGCTGAAAGTACAACATCCCGGTGGAGATGCGATGTTGACACACCTGTTTCTTCAAACCATGACTAGAGATCTACCAGAGACTATACAACGTCGTGATGAAGAGATATGGTTTGATTTTCCACCGGCGTATACGTGCTTTGGGCGGAGGAGTTTTGCTTAATCACCGGTCTACGCTTCGGACACGATGATGTAGGTCGGTACACTAGACACATTACCCGCCCATCATGGCTATCCCGGGTTTTTCCTGAGCTGGAGAGGCCGAGTCTACACGTAGAAGACCTGACAAGATTTTTGAATAATAAAGATGGTTTTACTCGGATGGATGACATCGATGTTGTCCGAGTATGCCTTCTAATTCTTTTGTATGCCGGCTTTTTAGGCAGAGAGGCCAGACAACCTATTCCAAATGATCTAATCAAATTGGTAGAAGACCTAAATACGTGGAACCTGTTTCCGTGGGGCTCGTATTTATGGAAAGCTACATGGAATAAGTTATCGTCTGCCTTGGATGATCGAAAAAGTTTGCATGGCGATGGTTCCAAATACACTTTGACAGGCTTTATTTGGGCCTTTAAGGTAAGAATTTTTATATAATGTTTCCAAAATTATAAGTAATTATTTAACAATTACTAATGTTTGTTATTATATTGTTTGTAGATTTGGATATTTGAGGCCTTTCCCGCCATGAAGACATATGCAATAAAAACTTCAAATAATATTCCTAGGGCTATTTCCTGGAAGAGGAAACGAACCTTGCAATGGGAAGATTTACTACGGTATACGACAATAAATAATGTAAGTTAACATAAATACTACCATATGTTTATAAACAAGTTATTACTAGTACACATTTAACTTTGTTTGAGCTTTTATATTGTTAGGAGGCCAACACTCCTCTACAGAGGCTGACACCCACGGAAGCTGAGCTTGCCACTGATTGGTGGCAAGCTAGTAAGCGTTTTTTTGATGGAACGGTTGATGAGCAGCCTCCACTTCGGGAGCCATCACCTCACCCAGAGCTATCACCTCACCCAGAGCCATCATCTGATCGACCCGGCTATACACCTCCACAACGACAGCCATCACCTATTCTGTCACATCATCGAGCCTCTTCTCCACCATCACCGCAAGATAGGTGACCGGCAAAGATGCCACGACGTTTATCTCCCTGTTCTCCACCTCCATCTCAACGGGATGAGTTAGGGGAGTTACGTGATGAGGTCAATGCCTTGCGTGAGGAGGTCGGTACTTTACGCAAAGACGATGGTGCATGCGTGTTGAGGTGTCTACATTACGCGGTGAGGTAGCCGCTCTACGTGAGATGGTAGCATCGTTGCAGAATGAGGTTCATACTCTACGCAACGAGGTAAGTTTAAGATTTTTCATACTCGTAATTCATTCGGTTGCTGCCAATCTGTTTTTGTTAGTATTTGTTTTTGGTTTTGTTTTTGTCTTTTGGTTGAAGTAATGCAATCCATTCAAGTTTCAATTTGCAGAAGAAGAATAGTTTACTTTCGCAACACGAAAATGACTATCGCAACGCGGAAATGGCTATCGCAATGCGAAATGAAAATCGCAACGACAAAATCGCAACGCGAAATGAAAATCGCAAATTTCGCGTTGCGATTTTGTCGTTGCGATTTCATTTCGCGTTGCGATTTTGTCGTTGCGATTTTCATTTCGCATTGCGATAGCCATTTCCGCGTTGCGATAGTCATTTCGTGTTGCGATTTTAAGTTTCGTGTTGCGAAAGTAAACTATTCTTCTTCTGGAATGTTTATATATGTTGTCCTTTTAAATGTTTATATAAGTGCTTACTTCTGGAATGTTATCTGAGCATTTTGTGAACTATGATAGAATAATGATTTGGGTGAATACAATGCTAGTTTGAAACATTTGTCTTTGTTTAATATCATGTCTGTTTATTTACTGATTTATGTATTAATTTTTTTTAGCGGCCCGATAAGGTGGATGCTTTACGTCGGGTTTTCCTTGCACGACGGAGTTCACGCATCAGACGGCGTGGACGTGCTATTACGTCTCTGTTCACCCCAATGGTGCGAAGACTCCGCAAGAAGAAGCCCGACTCACCGGTCATCCCTCAAGAGTCCCCTCCAATCGTTCAAGAGGCCCCTATTCTCCCTCAAGATTCCCCCCCACCGTTCAAGAGGCCACTGTCATCGTTGAAGAGGCCCCTCCCACCATTCCAGAGCCCGATTCACATGGGGTAATATATCGAAGTATTGAGAAACCCCCACCGGTTCCGACATGATGGATGAGAGTTGGCTCTCGTATGAGTTACCAGCTAGTACCCTTCCGGTATCTGAAGTGGAGAGGAGACAACTACCGGAAACAATTGTGGATACCCTTTGGGCTAAGACCGCATTTGATTTTTTATCTACATGAGCGGAGCCAAGGTGTTACACTGACATCAGCAAACTCAACGATGAAATGTTTTTGTTGCTTGATCGGTCTTGGTGGGGTGTGCTATTAGGGTTGAAGACAGTGGCTATTTGGATGGGGAGGTAAGACTATATTTGTCTT